CATTGAGTGAGCACAGCAGCATGTGTGCAAGTTAACCCCAAAACAGTATGCGTGCATGTGAAACACTATCTTTGACGACCAGGAAAATGGTCTGTTGTTGCTTTTAATAGTCTTATAAAATACAAGCTACAATACTATCAGTTGTAGGAACTGAACAGATTTATGCCTCCTTCATGATTTTTTTTATGTCACAATGAGGCGATATCTAAAAAAAAATCATCAATTTAAACATTCTCAAATCAGTGTTTTGGAATGAATCAGCTCTGTGACTAAGGGCGAAGCAAACCACCTCTACCAAACCTATTGTGGCTTCATATGGTTTGCTGGAAATGCACATAACTGAATAACGCTTTATTATGTACTAGGAAATGAATCATTAATGAACAAGTGGCTGATGAACATATCAGAACACAAAAGGTAGTCATGGGAACTTGGGTCATAGGATGATTGCACTACCAATTGAACAGACATTAATTTGCGAGAACTATTTTTTCACCCCTCACACTCTGAAATCACAGATACTCATTCTGTGAAACATAGAACATATAATGGATTTGCTCAGGAACCCCCCAAAACACATTATATGAGCTGGATAGTGCGTGCATACCAATGATACACCACCAAAAGTTGCGCAGTTGTAACTCAAAGTTCGGTGGACGAGCTCAGATAATCGCTAGTGTTATAAACTAGTTTGTACTCCTCCCAAATCTTACTTACTATGTAGATTCTCAATAAGAGAGTTGTACTTGTTACACGGTTATATTTATGAAAGTATTTTTTCCATTTTATATTTCTCGTTGTGGTACAATACTGTATTCACAACTCTTGCAGTTGCTTTCAGCCTCGTGCATTTGTTAGATGTTGACCAAAGTGTGGAATTTACAATTACTGGACTAGCTTCTGTGATTACCTCTGTGTACAATGGGTGTTGCAAGGAGCTCTAAAACACCAGTCTTGTATTTATGGTCAGAGAGATGCATGTATTCATTTGCAATGTAGATGCGCGAGGCACAGGAAGTAACTATACCGAAGACAATTTTACCACCACGTCTGGGGGACTGACCCACACATTATCTGCTTATTCAAGGATCTGATAAAACTAATTTACCACAAATACACATACTTGAAATGAAAACGCGAGACATATTTTACAATAGGATCTGTAATAATATTTAATAATGATTTGCACAACAAAATTTGGAACAGTGTTTTTTGAATACGTTGGATGTAAATTCAACATTGGGCCATTTTTTTACTCAAAACATCCATTGAAGGGTGACAAAAAATACAAAAATACAGCTTCGGGGGCCACTTCCACAGATCTTTGTATGGCAACAAGTTTCACCATATATGGAAGAAAGGATATGCATATCCTATATATGCAAATTGACCACCAAATGAAAGCACAGACAAACTAAACTCAGAACAAGGGCTCTGATTGGATAAAAAGAAACCTACAAAAATACATTTATTGGTGTAATGAAAGCTCCATTATTCCACTGTTACAAAAAAAACACAGATTTCACATCAACTAGAACCTTTAAAATATTTTCAGGGAGAAGGGGCTAAAATCTAAACAAACATCAAGGGCTTATATCCATAATAACCTACGCTAAGCCACCTTAAAAACTCGTTTAAAAGCTTTAAATCACATGGTTTCAAATTTGTGCCACAATACCAGGGCCATGATTCATTTGATTTACTTTTACTGAGGGGAGAAAAACAAATTATGTTATTGATAGTTACAGGTGTGTTTAAATGTGTCCAGTACAACCCATGAACTAGAAAGCAATAACCATATTGTGTTAATATGGTTGAACAGAGTTGTGTAGTATTGATGCAAAATACAAAGATCAAATAGATTTTTTTTTTAAAGTACCATCAAGAATGGAATGACTGAATTTGTAATTAACCAAACTAGCAAATGGTGGCATTATTTTCAATCATGTTCATAATCAAATGCATAAAATCGTGTAATTTTACCTTAATTTCTTGACAATATTACAGGCAAATAGTATTTACGCTCAAATTTGTAAAGTTGAACTGATCTACCACACATGGAACACAATGGCTGCAGATTATACTGATGCTAGTATTGTTACGATCCCAGTGTTGAACACGGGCACAAACAAAGCTTCATCCTACCTACGAGCTTCGTGTCCAAAGGAATATTTCAGTATTTTATTTAAATGACCCAGTTTGTTCTGGTCTAGCAAAAATACAAAATGTATATTCTGAACATACTGATTTTTATGAAATCAAATATGGATTTCCAATATTGTGTATAATGGTTTAACAAGATGGCAGTTAATATTGGATACAGTCACCGAAGGGTTTATATTTTATTTGGGTTTACTAACGTTCTATAAATAAAATTTATTACATTTCTTATAACATTATGTACAATTTGTGGAATACTTGGAATTGGTAAACTGGTATAATGTGTGCAATTTAGAACCAAGAAAAACTGCATATACAGGAAGGAGCTTGTTCATTGTGGTTGGTTGTTTATGTAATGACACCTCATTTTAGAATGTGTACACATTTGTCCTTGCAGAGAAAACTAAAGCAAACTCCATAGAAATTCCATAAAAACAGAATTCATGAGAAAATTTCTCAACAATGAAACTTTTCTTAATTTTGTCACGTTTTCTTTGAATCAAGTAAATGTTTAATTCAGCAAAATAAGAACGGGCCACCAAACTTTAACGCATTGGGTGCCAAAAAATGTAACTCCATATGCTACATGCACCTTTTGGTTCTATGACATGCAATGTGTTAATGTCATCGCCACGTTGGTCCAAACACCAAAATAGCAACACTGCCAGCTAAGTTGCCAACTGATTTAGTAAGCGTGTCTGGAGATTGTTGCGCAATAGGAACAAGTTTGGTCAAGCCAACCTGAACAGGAGACTCCAAACTACTGTAAAATCTGTATTGGAAGTCACATTTCTAATAGAAGTCGCACCAATTCTTTTTGAACAATTGAGAACCAAAAATTTAGATGTAGATGCACTATTAGAAGCTGCATCCCCCCGTTGCAAAGCTGCGGCTTTCAATACAGATTTTACAGTAATGGTAAGGGAGTCTTACAATAGAAGGTCATGATGCAGTTACCTTTTAATCCATTTCATCCAATCGTATAAATTGCTACATGATAAGTTATTCAAACAAAATGTATGTACCGTACTGTCAGTATACAGTCAGCAACTCAGCTGGCTATGTTGCCGATTGTAACTATTTGTGGTGGTGGATAGTAAAACCTAAATATAATGTGTATACATGCAATATTTAAGGCAGTTGGCACCAAATTCTAATTTTGCACTACTGAGCATAGATGAAATGCATTATGGGAGAGAATTTCATTCTATGTAATGGAAAACTTGTCACAATGAAAATGCACTAAATCAAATGATAAATTTTTTGAAATATTTTAACAATATTAGGATTTCTATCAAAGACTTGTTCATCCCATGTCACGAAGCAGAATTTTGCTATAGAAACAAGTTTAAAAACACAAATTATTTTTACGACAATCCGGACTCTTTGTTTCTCGAATAATTGTCCGGAGACCCAATCATGTTATATCCAATTTTCGTATCCTAATGAAATGAAAGCATGAAGAAAATGACTTGTAATCATCGATTCGGCCTGAACCTTCTTAATACATTGTCATAAGTGAATTAAGAATAGCATCTCAACAAAATAATGGTAGCTTAGATAATTGTAAGCAATAAGCATCAAGGACAGGCCTAAAATATAATTTGCTCAACAAATTCATCACTTATAGTCAGTGTCAGTAATGGGAAAATCACCCCTCACCCCACCCCCACACATTTTTTTGTTCAACGATATTAAAAATGTACCCTATTTTGCTAGGAGGGCTTAAAAAATGCGGGGAGAGATAATTAAACAAAAGTGCCTGTTAAGTGGGAAAATCATTAATTAAAATATGCACTACTATAATTGCGTCTTAATACCAGTAGTACAAGTCATTTGTGATGATCAAGCTCCCATGATGCAATGCATTGATGTTTCAAAGTCATAGTAGCTTGCATTCAACAAGAGAATTCAGCAGGAAATATAGCACGAGTTTTGAGATGTTGTAGATTACAAATACAAAGCAGACTGGCAAGATGAATTGGTTTATCTTGTATACATCGAAAAAATTAAACGATGCAATGACAAACTTTTACATTTGTATTGTAAATACAGCTGTATACACGCCATGAATCAAAGTTGTCGTATTACTAGTGTTTTTTGCCATAGAATGAGGTATCATCTAATTAAATTCACACGCGTACACACACACTTAAACAGCAATGTGTTGGGGACCCAGTTTTAACTTTTACAATTTACCTTATCTTTGAAACAATTATAATTCAGAGTAGAAATTCTTTTGTTTTTAGAATGTTAATCCATGGTATCTGAAATTGTTGATAACAGAACCAGGAAGTACATGGCAAGAAATATGCAAGAATTTACAGCTTGCAAACCAAGTTTAAAATACCAACAACTTAAAAAAAAACTTTCCAATAAGCATAATAACTACCAAATCATGAAAATCAGTCAGCTAGTTCAGTTTATGTTGGCTTATAAGTCTAAATAATGATTTACAGCGTTCTGTGCCAAACCAATATTTATGGCAGCACCATTAGTTAAATGAGTCAAAGAAATAGATCCCTAATGCTAGCAATGGCGGTGTTATAGAATACACACCAGCAACTCTAGCATTTAGCTACTACTAACAGTAAAATGATTAGGATTTGATAGAGATGCTGATATAACTTACAAATATTACTCATATTTCAGACAGGATGAAAAAAAAACTAAACAAAAACATCATTTTGGCTGCATGGAAGGAAGGTTTTCAAAAATATTGGCAGAGGGAGCTCCATGCTTAGTGTTAAAACCATTTCCAATATGCAGAAGAAGTGGCGCTCTTTTTTTTTTCTTCTTAAAAATCAACACTTAATCCTCTTAACTAATTTCCACCAGTTCAAAAAAACAATGTAGACATGCTCTAAAACATTAGAGTGGATATTCCACTAAAAACACTACAACATAATTTTAAAAGTTTTCACAACTATGTGCACTAAATTGCATCCTTTTTTGATTTAAAAAAAAAAAAAAAAGACTACCTTAAGAGAGAAAAAAGAAAAGCAACTTTCATCCTTGCAATCTATTAGATTTTTTTGTTTATAATATATAAAATCACAAAATGAATAGATTTAAAAATTTGTATCTATCCACCCTAGTTTATTACACAAGTCCACCCAATCAGATGGCAACAAGTAAAAGCTCCACACTGTGAGGGCTTTCAATCCTCACATCAGTAGTGTTACAAAAACTACTAAAATAAGTGTTCACATTTAGACTTAGTTCTGCACTTTTACGATTTGTCCACTATTTCTAAGTAATTTTTAGAATAGGGAATCAAGTATGCAGCCAACTGTGCATGATGAAAACAAATCTAAAAGTGAACACTAGAAAAGACAGAAGAGACTAACCACCAATCAGAGCCTTTCTAAGTTGATCAACTAAAAGCAACCATCTAAAAAGAAGATATGGCGTATCAGTGTAAGGTAAGGTAAGGAGCCGATACAGATATATTACAAGCTCAGCATTACCATGTCGGTCAGTTGGTCGGTCTGTCTGTCGGTGTCTAGATATGCAATGTTAGTAAGATGGGGAAAGAGGCCAATACTTCATAATAAAACACTTTAATGAGGACAGACTTAGAATCGGAAAAAGTGGATTAAAACTACCAATCATGATAACAATACAGACCCAATACCAACTTTGTATTATCAATGAAGAGGCATACTACTACACACAATCAGTGTATTCTTATATCAAGGTTAGAATAGGCAAGAGGAAGAAGATAAGAAAAAAAACAGCAAATTAAAGGTAAATCTTTTCACCAAACTGGTATTTACATTATTTGGTTTTGTGGTTTTTAGTGGGGATTTTTTTTTACCATTAAAAAATGATGGTCGATACCAAAAAAATGTTTTCTTGAAACTCCCAGAATGTGTGGAACCAGTTTGTTTTTGACAATGTTTTAGTCCTTAGATTGAGTACTACTTCCTTCTCCTTCCACTTCCGCTTCAGGTTCTGCCTCTCCATCACGATTACTTGTTTCTTTCATCTTGTCGCAGTAATCTGAAAATATATCTCTAAAACGGGACCATGATTTTTCTGGAATTGTGATGGATGTCCGGTATTGGCTTCTTGGCTGCAATAAAAGAATCAAATATTTAAAGTGTAACTAAAAGATGTATTGTTTACAATTATTAATAATTAAAATTTGAAAGTATAAAAAATAATGCAAGAGTTAATTACAAAACTATGCAAGTACAGTACATCATCAATAAGACTATGATCAGTCATTATGTATGCCAAATGCAGTAGCTTATTTATTTTTAACTTTTATTTTATTTAGTTTTTTTTTAGTTTTGCTCTTATTTTTGTTTAACTCCATTACTTTTGTGCCTAAGATGAAGTTAACATTCTTTTTCATTACGATGTAATAAAGATTATTATATTCTGTTTGTTAATTATGTGTAAAGGTTCCAATATGTAAAAGGAGAGCTTTCAGTACCAGCGTCCCACTTGATCATCGTCAATCAGTGCACAAATACCATTGAATGTTGTACAATGTACCAGTATGTGTAGTGATGTCCTAAACTGGCAGTGCCATGGTTAAACTTTCTACCACCAGCAGACAAAATTTGAGTCAAAAGTTTTTACACAAAAAAATGTTCGTCCCAATCTTTTGAATAAAAGTGCAAACTATAAACAGAACTATTTTGTGAATTTGTGATGAAAAGAGGGACCTAGTGGTGAAATAGTTAACTTTATTATCTTTACAAAAACTTTTAATAGGTGCTCATAATAAATGAAATTTGTTGCAAATCAAATAGCAGAAAACTACTTACCTGCACCTCAGAGATGCGCATATATATCCCTCTATGGTTACTGCCAATGTCAAAGTAAAAATTCTTGTTTTCAACTCTTATATGACGACCTTCTGGTAGTTCGGGTTGTGCCTCTGTAGAAAGGGATCATAGTGTGTGTGTGTATCAGTGAATGTCTCATTTGATGGTAAGTATATACTACTATTTTCCTTTAGTCTGAAGTCGTATGTGATTACTGTCAAAGTAGTCTATAGATCAGATTAACAGAAAACTCTGGCAGTAATTCTCAAGTTTGCCAACATCAAAGGTAATACAACAATAATAAATGTACCATATTAATTTTTATTAATTTCTCAGCAGCGCATATACTTAGGTGATCGGACAGAGGTTTGACAATGGCCAAAATAAGTTTTAATTTAATGATTTGGTATACAATAAATACAATCTATCAGAGTTGAACATTTTGGATACATGTTTGGATCAGGTGGATATGTTTTTTTGGCCGTGAATCCCCCCTCAAGATCCCAGAGTTTAGGATTATAGAATGAAAAGCGATCAAAACCTAGTATAATGTGGAGAACTCATTCAATAACCAATATGCAACACGAATGCAATCAAAATTAAGTGCATCCCCAGTGATTTTTGTCACTCAGTCGGTCAGTTATACTGATAAGTTATACTGATATTGTTATTTTTACTATCAGTGTTGTTTCCACTAGCAAAATTGACATATTCATCGCAACTTTCGCTTGTAATCTAACAACAGAATGAAGTTCCAGGCAGTTCAATGTGTAGCAACATCTGCTCCAAATGACGACTTTTTCATTCAAATCTATATGTTGATTATAACAGGGGCATATTGTGACCTGATTGTGGAAAAAGGCCCAGCCATGTTAGAAATACAAAATATGAAAAGATAATTCAACAAGCAGCCAGTCGGCTGAGATAGCTCCGCTGTTAGCAATGCACATTTCAATTAAAGAACAGAAGATATCATTAGAAAATGAACAATATGTAGTATCAAAGCAATGAGACTTGTTATTTTTAACAAGAATTCAAAAATATCACTTTTCACCAAAAATGACAAAAATAATCATCAAAAATAGATAATTGAAGATATCACCACAGAATTAACAAATCTGAAAGAGGTCCACATGTAGTACCTATATATGTAATATAAAAACAATCGGAATTGCGGTTTTCAATAAGAAGTCGAAAATATCACTTTTTACCAAAAATGACAAAAATATTCACCAAAATTAGAGAATTGAAGATGATATCATGAAATGAACAAATCTGAGAGAGGTCCACATGTAGTACCTATATATCTAATATCAAAGCAATTGGACTTGTGGTTTTTAACAAGAAGTCGAAAATATCACTTTTTACCAAAAATGACAAAAATATTCACCAAAATTAAAGAATTGAAGATATCAGCATGAAATGAACAAATCTGAGAGAGGTCTACCCAAGGCACATATACACCAAGTATCAAAGCATTCAGGCTTGTAGTTTTCAAGAAGAAGTCAAAAATATATAGCATTGACACGGACGACGGACGCCGGGAGACGCCGACGGACAATCACTCGTATGATAAGCTCCGCTCGACAAAGTCGACAGCGGAGCTAAAAACAGGATTTAAAATATGAGCTACATAAAGCAGAAACTCTGCTACTGTGTATTTACATGCATATTGAATCAGTAAACAGGTCCAGTGTTTATAAACATTGATCAACCATCCAATGAATTCCTTTACTAAAGCACGTCATTACTCCCTGGGTAATTCTGTGCAAGTAACAAGTCACTAATTTCTATGTTGTGACATTCTCAGGTGTTTGACATGGCAGAAGGCAATCTCTTCTTAAACTGAGGATACAATGCAATATTAACCCAAACGCCCCCTAGTGGCAAGATTAGGAGATGAGCTTAATGGAACACACGTTTCTCCCCTAGTACCAGGTTTTAGGGTGATTGGGATTCATTGCTTATATATTATTTTTAATGATGTCACAACTTGTGGTAGTATTATATAGTTCCTGTGAATTATCAGGTTTAAGAAATATATTAAATTTGAACATTCAGGGTATGTCAGAGATTACCTATTTTGCTCTTGCGACTTTCATTCACCCCTCATTTTATGCAATTGACATTTATTTTTATTCGAATCACAACAGATTGCAAGAAAGTAAACTGTTAATACAACAAACAAAAAATAGATTTTTTTTTTTTTTATTACAAGTGTATTTACAAATGTATGTGTAAATGCTTGCAAAAAAAAAATCAAAGGAAGCTTAATAGAAAGAACTCCTGTGTGCTGTATTGAAGTCTAAGACAAATGAAAATTAATTCAAAATTACTTGTACTTGAGATATTGATGGAATAGCTGAAAACTAATTATGTAAATCAGGTAACTGATATGAACAGATTTGAGTGTAAAACTAATAAGGCCTGCGTAATGTAATATCCATGTACCAAGTTTCATTGAAATGTGATTAGAACAAAAAAACTATGAATTATTATTACTATCAGAGAATTAATATGAACACATTTCAACCCAAAAATAATCGGGTCTGTCTATTTTCCTATTAAAAGCATTTATGTACCAAATTTTATTCAAATGTGATGATCAGTAATTGAGATATCAGTGTTAATTATTTTAATTAGGTGATTAATAAGCATAAATATTTACCAAAAACTAATTGGGTCTCTGCTTAGTCCTAGGTTCATTGAAATGTGATGATGAATACTCTTTAAAAGTTTCATTAAAATCCAATTAGTGGTTCTTTATTTATCAGTGGAACATTCATAGGGAGAAAAAAACTAATTACGCAAATTAGGTAATTAATATGCACAAATATTTACCCCAAAACTAATCAGGTCTCTGCACAGTCCTTAAGTAACTATGTACCAAGTTTCATTAAAATGTGATGATTACTACTTGAAATATCAAAAGCTAAAATTAATTATGCAAATTAGGTAATTAATATGTACTGATATTACCCTAAAAACTATCAGGTCTGTGCAGTGTCCTATGACATTTATGTACCACGTTTCATTGAAATGTGACGATCACTACTTGAAATATCAAAAGCTGAAAATTAATTAATTATGCAAATTAGGTAATTAATATGTATTGATATTACCCTAAAAACTATCAGGTCTGTGCAGTGTTCTATGATATCAATGTACCAAATTTATTGAAATGTGATGATTAGTACTTGAGATATCAGTGGAAAAGCCAAAAATTGATTAATCATTATGCAAATTAGGTAATTAATATTTTTACCCAAAGCTAATAAAATCTGTGCATTAGTTCAGAGCATCTATGTGTCAAGTTTCATCAAAACCCAATGAGTGGTTCTTTAGATATCAGTGGAACAGTCATGGAACAGCTAAAAATCAGCTAATTATTATGCAAATTAGGTAATTAATATGCATGGATTTTTACCAAAACCTAATCAAATCTGTGCATTGGCCCAGAGCATCTATGCACCAAGTTTCATCAAAAAACGATGTACGGTTCTTGAGATAGCAGTGGAACAGACACACACACAGACAGACACACTAACTGCAAAGACTCCCTTTTTTGTGCTTCGCACACGGGAGTCAAAAAATACAAAGCATCAAGTCAAAGCATAATGGAAACACATACCTGCACCATCATCGGTTCCAAATTCATCTAAAAGTTCAGTAAGGGCATCTCGGAATTCTACTAAACCCTGCGCTGGCAGGGCAATGTGGGTACGTGGACCTCTGTTGATTGTCTGAGATACCTGATAAAATACAAGAACTATTCTATAAAACTTTTCTTTACAACTGTTTTCAGTTTAACCAAAATTCACTACTGAGCATATTACTGCACAAATACCAAACTCAGACTTGTGCCCATGAGCGATTCAGTGCCCCCCCCACCCGAGCAAAATTTTGAGATATAAAAATATATTCTCACCATAAAAACCAGTGTAAAAATGACAAATTTTGACAATTTTCCAGTGATAGTTTGTATCTCAAAGTTGATTTTTTTTATCATTTTCTGAAGGTATGAATATTAATGAAAGTATGGCGAACATGACATAATCTTCAATTCGACTCAAACTCTTTAAATCCAAATCAAATATGTGTAATGCCAACATAATACATGCATTTAGGGGAGAGTAGGAAATCAAACAGACGGTGCACCGCGGTGGTGGTGGTGGGTGCTCGCCGGTCGACTGCATTTTATGCAAATTTATGCATAGATTCCATGACGCCGGCTGACCGCGGTCGTCCGCGGTGGGCTCGCACAGCAATTCACACTCATTGTCAAGACCATTAATGAACACAAAGAACTGGGAAATTAAAAGGATCACAAAGTTCTAATGAAAAGTTAAACCAATTTGGCTGAGCCAAAAGCTAGGATACAAGTCTATAATAGTTGACATTATTTTATTTGCCTGAGCCTTGGAATAAAATCACAAAACGATCCAGAAATACTGTAAAATGACTAATTTTCACTGGGTTTAAATTTCGCTGATTTACCATTTCAGGCATATTCGGTGGGTTTTAAATTCACGGTTTTATCATTTAGATAATGTGTTCTATGCTAAATTTTACATATTTGCTGGGTTTTAATTTAGCACTTTTTCCAGTCAGCGAAATAAGCAAAATTAAAACCCAGTGAATAATTAATCCCTTTTACAGTATGTCGAGATCAACATAATAAAAAATATGACTGCATTATTTTGTGAATATGTTTAGAAAGATTAATGTTTCGCGTAGACCAAATATAATCACGCATAAGTATAAAATCAAAGTGTTTTAATACATTGGTGAGAGGTCGCAATTACGTGAACAAGAACATGCACTAAGAAGGAAAAGCAAGCCAAAGTCGAAACGGGGTGTATCATGGACTTGGTACAACATGCGCTGCGACAATTGAGTGATCGCCGACATCATTTTGGGGCATAATTGAACTTCAAGTACGTTGCGAAACTTGCTACGCGGCGATGCTGACATCAAGTGTGTGTTGACCGAAGTCTGACCCCAAGCCACGTACTGAACTGGCGCGTTACCTTAGCAACCCTTTTCTTTCTTGGTCCGCGCACCGATCTCGTAAAATTGTTATTATATCCGGCAGTACTGTAATAACACAACTTGTATCCAACTCTGTATTAGCTTTGAATATTTCAACATCATTTACTTAGTGTGCTGCTTTTCTAATAACGCAAATATGTTTACAGTATTGCACGGGCTCTAAATATTTAAACTTTACAATGTATTGCTTTTATTATAATTACGCAAACTAAGTTATTTTTATTATTGTTGGGACACTAACCCGGGCTATTGGGTCTGTGAATATTTCAATATTACTGACTTGATAATGCGTTATAAAATGCAAATATAAACATGGGCGCATTTAAATCATTGAAAATAATAATCAGGTCCCGGAGTCAGGTGTCTAACGAAAGTCAAGAAAATATTTTAAATACTTGTGACTCATCAGTGAATTATTTTATTCGAAACAAGCAGCCTATCGGCTGAGATAGCTCCGCTGTTAGCAATGCACATTTCAATTAAAGAACTGAAGACATCATTAGAAAATGAACAATATGAATAGTATCAAAGCAATCGGACTTACAGTTTTTAACAAGAAGTCGAAAATATCACTTTTTACCAAAAATGACAAAAATATTCACCAAAATTAGAGAATTGAAGATATCATTACAAAATGAACAAATCTGAGAGAGGTCCACATGTAGTACCTATATATGTAATATCAAAGTAATTGCACTTGCGGTTTTTAACAAGAAGTCGAAAATATCACTTTTTACCAAAAATGACAAAAATATTCACCAAAATTAGAGAATTGAAGATATCAACATGAAATGAACAAACCTAAGAGAGGTCTACCCAAGGTACATATACACCAAGTATCAAAGCATTCAGGCTTGTAGTTTTCAAGAAGAAGTCGAAAAAGTAAAACATTGACACGGACGACGACGGACAATCACTCATATGATAAGCTCCGCTCGACAAAGTCGACAGCGGAGCTAATAAAGTGAATATGTAATATTAACCATACAATAACATACACTATTATGCGTAATGTTAAATTTTTCTATAATAAACTCGCAGCGCACTACAATCGCATTATTCGCGTACAATTCGACTGAACTCTAATAACCACGTGTTTGAATTACCTGCGGCAATTGGGCAATGACCTCAATGAGTTCACGCACTGACATTTAAATTCGACCACCCAGTTTGACGCAAAACAATATAGTTACTAAACATTTGTTCAAAAAAATCGGTAAACTCTCACAAATACTATGAACGCGAAGAGTTAACTGAGAGGCAACGTCGTTTTTGACCAAAAAAAAACGCGTCAATACAAGATAATGTGTGCAAGGTTAGATTTATAGAACGTACATGACCGCTTAACTCTGTTTTTTTTTAATAATCATGTCGTACGTGAAACACAGGAGACATTTCAGTTCGTTCATTTCTTGTTTACCGATCTTGAACTTTTTGTCTGGAATGCGATACAGGCAAAGAAACATTTACAGTACAGTTCTCGCGGAAGCTTTGGCTTTTGTGGCATCATTGTCGCCTAAGCATGGCTTCATTGTCGCCTCAGCATCGCATCATTGTGGCATCAGCTTCGCGTCATTGAAAATTGAAGCTGTGTTCGCCTCGCTATTTTGTGGCATCATCGTGGCCTCAGCTTCGCAGTCTCATGGCATCAACATGGCATCAGCTTCAAAGCATTGTGACATGAGTATGACCTCATTATTTGCACGCAGAAGGGCAGTAGACAAAAACATGTACAGAAGTTCGATATGTATTCGATTTGAAATTCAAGGCGAATAAAATAATATGATC